CTATATAACATATCTGGGACAATCTGCACAAAGCAACTTGATTTCTCCATCCCTAAACATTTTTATACCTGATTGCAGGACAGATTGCCTCAGGGGCTCATGGACTGCCTCATTTCGTAGTACCTCTATTATGGAATGAGATTATACCATTTTTAGTATGATGTTACATAAGTAGACTGTTATAGGGAAGCACACCCTCTCCTAGCTTCCTTTATTGTTCGATCTTTCAGCTTTTGGTTTAGGCTTTTCCAAGCCGATGAGCCTTACGCATTCTCTTACCTGTCTACGGACAGTTGCATGGTATATTTTTTGTATTATATCAGCCTATACTCACATACCATATTTCATTAAAATGTCCACCATATAATGAACCAAATTTGCAAAAGTGTCTTAAGTTTGAATACCAGTGGAAATTGCAATTTATACAGATTAAAATATTTTAATGATGCATAGTTCCTAAAGTATTATCCGTTCTTTTCATTCTATTTATCTTACAGCATATAAACGCGAAGAAATGTTTTATGACATGTATTTCCATGCTGAATGTTTTTCAGATTTACTGCGATGTCGCGTTTCGAGATACGTTTTTAGAACCTGTTAAATACTCCCGAATTTTGAAAATGGGTGATTTGAAATTTACCATTACCACTCCGCGTAATCTGAGATATACACTGAAGTGAGAAAAGTCATGGAATAGCAATATGCAAATACACAGATGGCAGTAGTATCGCGTAGAAAATGTATAAATGCGAAGTGATTTGGCAGGGCTTTCATTTGTGTTCAAGTTATTCATGTGAAGAGGCTTTGACGTGAGACGAGAATTAACAGACTTTGAACGCGGAATGGTAGTTGGAGCTAAACGCATGGGTCATTCCATTTAGGATATCGGTAGGGAATTCAACATTCTGAGATCCACAGTGTGAAGAGTGTGCCTAGAGTATCTAATTTCAGGCATAACATCCCATCATGGACAGCGCAGTGGCCGACCACCTGCACTTAACGACCGAAATCAGCGACGTCTGCGTAGAGTTGTCAATGTTCACAGACAAGCAACACTGCGTCAAATAACCGCAGAAATCAGTGCGGGACGTACGAGGGACGTGTCCGATAGGACAGTGCGGCGAAATTTGTCTTCCTTGGGCTATGCCAGCAGAAGATCGACTCGAGTGCCTTTACTGACAGCACGACATCGCCTGCAGCGACTCTCGTGGGCTTGTGAGCATATCGGTTGGTCCCTAAACGAATGGAAAACCGTGGCTTGGTCAGATGAGTCACGATTTCAGTTGGTAAGAGCTGATGGTAGGGTTCGAGTCTGGCGCAGACCCCACGAAGCCATGGACCCAAGTTGTCAACAAGGCACTTTTCAAGCTGGTGGTAGCTCCATAATGGTCTGGGCTGTTTTTACATGGCATGGACTCGGTCCTCTGGTGCAACTGAACCGATCATTGACAGGAAATGGATACCTTCAGCTACTTGGAGATCACTTACAGCCATTCATGGACTTCACATACTCAAACAACGATGGGAATTTTATGTATGACAATGCGCCATGTCACCGGGCCACAGTTGTTCGCGATTGGTTAGAAGAACATTCTGGACAATTCCAGCGAATGATCTGGCCACCTAGATCGCCCGACATGAATCCCATTAAACATTTATGGGAAATCATCGAGAGGTCAGTTCGTGCACAAAACCCTGCACCGTCAACACTTTCACAATTATGGACGTCTATAGAGGCAGCATGGCTCAATATTCCTGCAGGGGACTTCCAACGACTTGTTGAGTCCATGCCACGTTGAGTTGCTGCACTTCGCCGGGCAAAAGGAGGATCTACAAAATATTAGGAGGTATCCCATGACTTTTGTCACTTCAATGTACTTAAATATACTGGGATCGAAATACATATACCTTCAATAGTCAAATAATTTTATATTCTGTGCATATTGCGTTCAAGAAATGATGCGTCCTGTCCCCAAAAATTATATTTATGAAACACGTTTTCAGTATCTTCTCAACGCCACTTAGTGGCAATTTAAATCATCAACAGGATTTTAATCGGTCACTTTGAAAAATATTATAAAGCACACAGAAAAGGTCAGACTCCTCAAGAAAACGTTCTGACCAAGAAAGGTATGCGATCATAAATTATTCAGGGAAAGTCTGCGTTAAAAAAATGCGCACTTCATGACTTAATTTCTAAAATAAAAGTCCTGGAGTCTAACAGAAGGTCATCAGGAAAAAAAAGTGTATTAGTATAAAGAAGCAACTAACAAGATAATTAATAATTAAAGTAATAAAATAATTAAGATAATTAAATTAAAAATAAAATTCAATGAAATGTAAAGAGATAAATAAAAATTTAGTGAATTACTAAATTAATGGTATATAGTCATATATTAAAATAAAATACCGAACATCTTAATTGTGGCTTCGATTGGAATTATAGTTTCTCTCAAGAATTAAGAAATAACCTAGCCGGGTTATGGATGAATTTAAGCTTTGAATGTATGGCATAATGCACTATTTCAGAGAATGATAGAAAAAAAAACATTGGTTTTCAGTTCATGAATGAAAATACGTAAAACGCCTAAAAATCATTGATGAGAATAAAAAGAATGCTAGACACAATATGAGAGTATGCAAAGAAATTTTAACGGGGACGTGTTGGTAGGAAAAGAAATAGAAGAATCCAATTCTGACCACGATTTCCTCCCAGTACAATTCCAGTCCCGAATATAATTCTAGGTGTTAAACAGAATGTAATAAGGGAAAAAGTTTCCCTGAGCTTTTGAGGAGTGATCTGCGAGATGAGAACAAACGTAAGGTTCTCTGTAAGTGACAATTCGTTCGTCGGTTCGTCGGCTTTTGGCACAACGAAACCGTCATGACAAAATGTCTGCAGGCTCTTTTCCTTGGGAAGTTATTAGGGCGTAAGCATTGGGCGTAATGCAAATTGGTTGACAGCTTGTAGTAGAAAATGTACCCGTTCTCATATATTCATTTCACTTCCTGGAGGTTCATTTCTCACGAAAGACAGGCATGCATTCAGAAGTTAGAATCAGTTTTCAAGGCTTATAATTAAAACAAAATGATTTCGCGATAAAAAGCATTTTGTTTTGAAATTGTGGTTCAGCTACGTAAAAGAAGGTTATTTGCATGCCAGAGAAGTCTTTCGAAAAATAATTCTACGTTTATCATTAACTGATTACTATTAAAGATAGTTTAATTGTTGTAACAAATACTAATTAAAAGCTCAGGTTGATCTGATCATCATTTAAATATATGCTTACTAAAATTCATTGTCTTTAATAAAACTTTGTTAGAATAATTTGTAATCGTAGAAGCAAAAATATAAGACATATACATATATATAACATATAGGGTGGACATAAAAAGAAGACTTCCAGTATTTGAACTCATAGCAACTTATCCGCGCAGCCAATTGAAATGAAATTTAAGATATTGTTATTTGAAGGTATGCTCTCGAGATTGCGATGATTTAAATAAGTAGAGCTCTCAAGGTTACAGCTATAGTGAAAAAAATTTTCCGTCCACCCTTTCCCTGCGCAAAGTGATCAGCAAACTGGAAAACCATAAATGGCTATGGAACAATACACGTATGACGAAAGTTGCGGGCGCAAAGCATTTGTGAAGAAAAGCATTGTAAAAGGCCAATGACAATATAAGCCAGGAAACTGGGAAAAAAAACACCTTACTGTTGGAATTACAAGTTTTCAACGTGCCTGGAGGTTACTGGGCAGCAGGAAGGGATTCTGACTCACTCCCTATAATGATTAGTACATTTGTGAGCTCGCGTAATAATTAATGCATTTTAAACTAAAAAATATTCATTATAATTACGAAAGGTTCGTTACAAATATGTATAAATCATGGACAGCATAGAACGGTTAGTGAAGTGAAGTATAGTCCTCGTGACGTGAGGATCCTGATAACGAGGTTCTCTCTAGTCGAGAGTCCAAGAGCATTCTGACGTGTTGTAGTTCCGATGGAAAAAACTTGACTGAATTAGTCACGCCTCCGTAATTTTTTAGTAATATTTTACATCTTCTGATTCGTTATATCTAGAACTATATGACAGGAAAAACAAGATCATTGGTTCGCCAGCCCTCCTGAAATCAAGAGGCTTTGACGACAGACACAGTGCAAAATGCTAAAATCTTTTGACACTGGTCGTGAAGGTCTCTTGTCAACTGAAAGGAATTATTGCGTCTTAGATGTCAGAACCATGTTGTGTGACACACCGTAAAAGTTCGGAAACAGTGACTTGCGTGAACAACACCGACAATTTTTCTGATCTCTGTGTGGTCCGCCGCATGCTCATCTGCCCAGATGATAACGCACTGCATACCGGAATTTATTGAAAACAATGGCGAACGTAATATCGCAAGAGGAATATATGTAACTTCACGTTTTATGTCATCTTTCACCCGTATTAATATGTAAACCTTAGATTTCAGACAACGTCGTAACCAGAAATCCATTGGTGTGAGGTCGAGGAATAGCGGTGGCTAAGAAACTACAAAGGTACGGGAGATCACTCTCTCTTGAAACGTTATACACATTGACAACTCTTAAATTCCAACAAAAATTGTTTCTCCTCTTCACTCTTGGGTTGTCATTGGTCCTTTACAATGCTCTTCTTTGAAAATGTTTCATGCCAGCAATTTTCGCCATACGTGTATCGTTTTAAGGCATTTATTATTTTTTAACGCCCTAATCGATTTTTCTCAGGAAAATAGTGATTACTGCTACACCAGAATTTCGAAATGTTTTCCCTGTAACCGTAATCATGAGAGCTCCATTGTTTTAAATCATCCCAATCTCGACCGCATGCGTTCAAATAACAATAACTGAAATTTCATTTAGATTAGTTGAACAGATAGGCCTGCAGAGGTTCATATGTAGGGAAGTTTTTTTATTACCACCTTGTGTATATTGGTGCAAGTAGTATAAAGGCAGTAAAAGAATCAAAATTTTACCTTCAGAACTTTGGCGTCTAATCGATGCAGAATCTTTCGTGGGTTGACTTGTTGGTTGTTGAATTTCTATTACAGGAATTAAAAAAAAATAAAATGGATAATAAAATTAATTACAATATAACAAAAAGGCATTTTGAATCATTTTAGTAAATATTTATTAAAATGAACTTTACATAATTTCAAATAGTGTGTTATAAAATTAAATACGATTTAAACTTTGCAAATGTTTAACAGAAAACAGTAGTTGTATAATCTGAAGAAAAGCTCTTTTTCTCCCCCTCAGGGGGAAAAAAAAATAAGTCAAAGATAGACTATCTAAATTCAAGACCTACCTCTACCATATACAAAATTTGATTATAAAACGGAATTCTGAAATTTTTCTTTCTAAATAGTTTTGAAACGTTAATTTTCAGAAACACAAAATAAAGAAGTTTATTCCCGAATACATGTAATGAAACGCCTCATAGAAATTTAACTCCTGAGAATATGCTTTCTTCCGGTAAACAAAAACCAAAGAAAACTAAAGTTACGCTAGCAGAACACAGACCGGCACTGCTTTGCAAAAATGTTGACCGAGTATGGCCTTTCGTGAATGCAGTGAGAGGATAAACATATTGTTACGAAATGTAGAGGAGCGGTTAGATGGCTTTCCCGCACAGCAGTTTTAGGGTTGCCACAAAATGGCAAGGTAAGGCAGTGTTGCCACATTTGGTGAGAAATCGCCCATTCGGCGACAAAATTGGCAATATACCATGGACGGTTAGAAAACCTTCTGGAACGAATTCTTACCAGTTTAGCCTAGAATATTTTCGAACACAAGCCAAAAGCTATATAAACCCTGCTGGTCCGCAGTAAGTGTGCTTCATCGAGAGAGAGAATGTGCCTCTCTCATCGAGTGTGTCTCGTCTAGCGAGTCAATCCCTGGGGAGGCGATCGCGTTGGCAGCCGGCCAGCGAGTGCCGAGTAGGTCGTCGAGTGCAAAGAGTCTCGTAGAGTATCGCGGTTAGTGCATCGTCGAGAGAGCGTGTCAAGCTCCGGAAACAACTGAACCGAGAGTCAGGAGCTGTGCTCTGTGTGTCGTCGAGTGCATCGCGAGTTGTAGCGTGGAGAGTCTCGAGAGACGGGGAGTTCCGAGAACGACCAAGCAGAGTCGGGAGCGTTACTCCGGAAAGCAGAGTCGGGTGTTTTGCAGGAAGCTGTCTCCACCGTGATAGCCTGATAACCTAAAAGCTGTTTCGTTGATCGTGTCAGCGTGTTTATAGTAGTTCATCGACGACTGTAAAACGTGTTTTGGAGCTGTCCTGACAATACTGGCTAATAAAGTGTGTTTCCTTACGTCATCAAGTGTCGTCGTTATTCACTCCAAATCTACGAACCCCGAACGAACGTGAAGGAAGAAAATAACGTAACAATTGGTGTCAAAGGAAAAGAAAAACGTAACATTATCATACTCACACTGAGTTACTGGGAGGATAAATATATCATACTGAATAGACAATAGCTATGTTCTTGAAATTAATCAGGAACATAGCAGTTGCCTGTTCAGTGAGAGTTTAGCTTTCTATAAAATATCGCATTCTTGTAATGTATTTCTCAATAACACATAGCTAGCTGCTTTTATTTTTCTGAACTAAAGTTCCCATTTTTATTCACCAAAGACAACTGAGGCGTATGATGATAGGCAAGATGTTACTTCTTCTTCATAAGCTCCACAGCCTGTACAGGTCAAGTCTGTCTCCCCACGTTTCCTCCACCTGACCCCACTCTGCACAATGGCCCTCCATAGGCCAACTCGAATTAACCTTAAATCCTCCTCGGTATCATCTATCCATCTTCTTCTTCGTCTTACTCCCTCAATTCTCGAAAAGGTTACGTATTTGGTTGGAAATGCATCATCATATCTACACACATGACTCAGCCATCTGCTACGAGATGCCCATATTTCCTATATTTTCCATATAGTTCATGATTATAGGGAATTATCCACAAGATGTTACTAAAGATGTTATAATTTGATTGCATTCCAAAACTACAATCTTTTATGCCTTAACCCTCTGGCTGATCATCCCACGATTTCCACGGGCAATTCAAATGTAGCAAAATTTTCTCATTCCGCAATTTCCGCGGGCATATGTTTTTCTTCCTTTATTGAGGAGCGCAATTTTTTCCCCCGTTTAACCATTGAAATAAATTATATACAGTATTAGGCGTTTAGTTTACGTTTTGGCCAACAGATATCGTTAGTTGTCCACTAAATTACGGCATTTGAAGGCACGTGGTATTAACCCTCAAACTTCCCTTTTTGCCGCTTTTTTCTTACAGAAATGGCTGCTAGAAAATGTTCAGCGATTATCTTAATTAGTTAATTAAATTATTGAATTATTGATTAGATTAATAATTAGATTGATTATTAATTATTTAATGAATCTGGTGCAAAGAATCTGAAGTTTGACTCTATCATACTAAACTGCATTTTTTAAGTAATTTCCCCTCAGAGCTTTATATTTTCTTAAATTTTATACATTTTACTTTTTTATATTATGCAATAAATAGAAATTAACTGTAATTCGACTGAAATTTATTAAAATTTTTTTTTTTTTTTTTTGTGATAACATCTGAAATTGGTTTTTCTGGCAACTTAGTTTCTCATGATAAAAATCTATATAAAAAATATTTTCCAGAAAGAAAAAGTGAATTTTTCAATTCTCCTATATATACAGAATTAAAATATGAAGGGATAAAAACCGCAATTTTGGAAGCGATTTTGGTCCACAAATTGAGCAATCAGAGGGTTAAATGTTATCTGCGTTTCCAAAGGAGCTGATAAGAATTTGTAAACGGAAGCCACGAGAATTTTCTATTTTAATAGCTTGTTCCGCAAAATTAATAACGACTCAAATAAATGGGTGTTACTTCATTTCATGCTGCTGTGTTTCGAGTCATTATTTACTACACAGTGGAACCTTTCAAGTAATAAGAGTTGCCATCATCTCTCTGGTTGAAATCTCACGTACAATATCTGCTACAATAAAACTATGTATATATAACTAACTTCAGCAACACCTTATCTTGAAACTCTTCTTGATTCGCTTTTTAGTTAGAATTCAGAAATTGTTTTCACGAATTGCTTCTTTAGTATGCAAAAGTTCAATTCTGTAAATAAAAGCATTGACTGCAGAATTTTATTTCGCAGTAACCGGAATGTTTAATGCCCTTTTGTATTGGTTGTGTTTGAAAGGTATATAAAATTTTAACCTTTCCTTGGGGAGCTGGACATATGCGTCTCGCGAGTTAAATAAGGCTGAAATAAATCTATGGAAACTTAAAATTTGCTACTTAATGCGGAGCAAGAAATGGCAGACCCTGACGATTTGCTTTTCTGCTCCTTGCTATTAAAAAGATGACTAAATGGCTTTAATACATAAAAGATGACCTTACGTCAAAAGGTTAATTGTTTAGAAGAATTACCATAAAGGCTTTACATGCAATATTTGGATCAAATCCTATTTTTAAATTTCACTTACCTGTTAACTTTACAGATCCTTCAGTAGATCCCAAAGAATTTTTTGATAAACACATGTAATCGCCTAAATCTTTAGGCTCCAGATTTTTTATCGTCAATCTTATGTGTGTTTTGTATGTTTTTTCTTTAGTTGTCACTTGTAGTTTATCGTTGGAGATGATCATTTCGTTGGCTTGGCGACCCCAGTAGTTGATGGAAGCTGGATAGGCTTCAGTGTGGCAATCGAGCGTAACATCGCTCCCAAGTGTAACATTCACCTGTTGATTTGGGATCCATAAAACTGGAGGAACTAATAAAGCAAATAAATTTTATTAGTATTTACCTGAAACAATCTAAAAATTAGGAAAAATTATTTTGTATTAAAAGAAGTTTCTGTTTCTCATTTTCGTTTTGATAAAGAGTGTTATAGTTTAAATTATGAGTGTTTGTAAAAACAGTCAAATAACATTGAATTATAAGTGTAAGTAAAGCGTATTTTTCTTACAGACCCCATTAAGTTAACAAAGTCTCTTTATGTGTAATTTATAGACTTCAGAAAAAAGGTTAAGAAAACCATTAAAATTGTGACGCGTAGTGAGAAAGAGGAGACGAACTAATTATAATTGTGAAAATTTAGTACAAATAAGGAAACTAGTGATACTATTTGCTTTCTTTCAAATCTCATGAAAATATTTTTTACATTACTTCGACTCGCATAAAATATTTTATGCGATCATAAAAATATGATTATAAAAGCATAGTTTTGTGTATAAATAAAGTAATTTTACTTTATTTATACACAAAACTACGTATTTACTACGTATATAGTTATTTTGTTACTCTTATAACGACGACTCTATAATGATCAATTTCGCGAAAAATAATTGGAATTTCTTATATTGCTTTCCTAATAATTCTTGACTGATCTTGTGGTAGCTCTTTCAAATCTTAGCGTTTAATAATAGATGGTGAACATTCTTTAATGCAAAAGAGTTTAAAATAAGTATCTTAATATACGAAGGCATAGTTTTCATTTTGTGTTTTTTGCAACATCGGAATTATCTGAACGTTAAGCTTTCAAGAATTGTTCGAATTATAAATGTTTTTAATTGGTCGGGAGCTTTATTTAATAGCCAGTAGCCTTGCGCCATTACAAGGGCCGAAAGGGGTGGCCATTTCATTACGGAAACACCTAATAGGTGGCCACCATTGCCTCTTACGAAGGAACGCACAGTTACAACCATGCCTTCTACGAGATTCGAACTCGGGTCCATCGTAACTAACCACTACAGCGGCTGGGCGGCTGTTCGAATTACAGTTAATATATTATATGATGAAACAGTATTGTACATTACGTATTAATTAAATTTAATAAATTTGCACTGCACATAAAATCTTGAAAAGCAAAACATTGTATTTTATTTTTCTTTAAAAGTCTAAATATTTCTGATTTTAAACATGACTTGTAAGGGTAAGCAAATTTTAAAAATCACTCTAGCCACGTTTGCACATTTAAAGTTAAAATTGTAAAAGATTATCGCACTTCCTGTGTGTACTATTCTAGCGTAAGTGGTTTGCACGTCTAGTTAGCAAATAAAGGATCTGTGATCATAATCCTGGCTACGCCACAGTTTATACTTCATGTTTCGCGGTTCCGTAAAAATTTAATGGTCCCTATAAAATGACTTTAAAAAATGAGGTCATAAAAATATCTTTAATTAAAAATGCAAAATTTTGAAAGGTATATGAAGGAAATGGAGATTTAAAAAAGGTTTATGAATTCTGTTAGATCAAAGAAAATTGCACAAAAAGCGAACATATAATTACTTTTCTTTTTTAACCTAGGATTACATTCCTCCATAATACTCTAATGGAAAAGCAGAAAGTTAAGACACTATTTGAAGTGAGCACGAATGCTTATACCTTCGAAACTACAAATGTTACAGTCTATTAAAATGCATCATTAGACAGATGAAAGTGCACACTAGCAAACACAAAAAATCTTTTTAAAATTGAATAAAGGGTATGTGCGCCAAAAAAGGTGAAGTTTTTGTAAAGCCTAAGTTCCGCGCGCATGCTTGACCGCGTGTGAGTGGCAAGTTCGTCTGGTAGACAGTCAGTGTGTTTGGACGGTGTTTGTTGTATTTTATTTTATTTCGGCAAGCTAGTGGTGTTACGATTTATAGAAGTTAGACGAGTGTACGGATTATGTACGAATATAATTTACTGTTAAGCAACGTAAGAGAATATTAGGTCTCAGAAGCAGGCGATATTTGTATGGTTGATGTAAGTGTTAATGGACAGTCAAGATTTATTATAGCATCCGTACATATTCATCCAACTGTTGATTCAGGAGAGTTGTTTAATGCATTGATGAAATATCCTGAGACAACTTCACTGAACGATAAAGAGTTTATCGTACATACAGATGTTCCTGTCATTAGTATGGGAAATTTCATTACAGAAGTCAAGTGAAATGAAAAAGGATTTGATTTTATGAAACATTACTTTAATCTAAATACAATGCAAAGTAACAATCCAAGTACACTTGGCAATTCACTTAGAGATTTAGCATTTGCTTGAAACATAACGGCAGACATTTAAATTATGCACCTTATTTCTCCTATCATCGACCAGTTCTACATAGGGTCATTTTGAATGAATAAATGCAGGGTGGCGCAGGAAAACGCAGGAATTTCGAAATTTTGGGAAATTTCAAAATAACGTCATTTCCACGAATAAATTCATAAAACTAGTAATTTATTAACAAAGTGCATGTATTCAGCATGCCATTTATGGTTTTACAATCAAAATGTCCAAAAGTGTTTCTTTACTTTTTTAAGATGACATCGGAAAGATGTGCTCCCATTCGGCGTTCACACTCTAACAGCCTGTTATGAAAACTCTGGAATACGCGGTTTCGCAAATCTTGGGGAATGGCACTGATTTCCTTTTCAGTGTTCTTCTTCAGTTCATGGATTGTTGCAGGACGTGTACGGTGCACCTTGCCTTTAAGATATCCCCACAGAAAGAAGTCGCACATACTAAGATCAGGGGATCTCGCAGGCCATTCAATGTCACCGTTACGTGAAATAATGTGTCTTCCAAACAATTGACGAACTGCTGCCATCGATTGTCCAGCAGTGTGTGACGTGGCTCCATCCTGCTGAAACCACATCTTTTCGGTGTTAAGATTGAGCTCGTACAGTCTCGGTGTAAAGAATGTTTGAACCGTTAGAATGACACCTGGAGGTTTCTTTTTCAAGGCAGATCCTGTTTCTTTCAAAATTACGCAACCACGTTGTAAACGCATGCGCAGATGGGACGCGTCCATGACGTCCAAGCTGGTAATGCTGTCGAAATCTCTGCGCTGCAGTCGCACTATCGCCATTTTTATAAACACTCTCACAGCTACTACACGTTCCGCACCAGTCCAATGATCCATGATTACTAAATGGCAATGCGCTCACAACAATTGTGCAAAGTTTCGAACAACTGCCGGCTCTACATTGCTGCCAACTGTAAAGTTCAATTTCCCATTTCCCTGCGCCACCCTGTATAATAAATAAAAGATAAAACAAAATAAAATATATGGGTTCGTAAAATATTTTGTGCTATAACACCCTCCCACTTCCGTTAATAATCCCATGAATTAAACACCAGCAGCTCTTCTAAATCAGAGAATCTAAAACAGAGAACTTGCCGTCAATATGTTGATCGCGAAACGTTATGCAATAAGGTTCAGTCATGTAGATATAAGATTTAATGCCTCTAAGTAAACAGGCATCACAGAGCGAGAACCCAAAATATATTTAAAGAAAGGGCAATTATTAATTTCAGTATTAATTCAGTAATTAGTTTTTATTAACCTCGCAGTCTAATTATTGAATTAATTTCATATTAATTCAGTAGTAATTAGACTGCGAGGTTAATAAAAACTTTTTGAAATGAAACGTAACGAGAAAGCTCTAAAAATTTCTCGTACCAAAATATACGAAATCGTATATAAGAATGAGTGTTTATATAAGAATTTAAGTAGCATCATGGATGTTCTAACTACCTTAAATATGCCTATATTTATGCAATGCCTTCGATTAGCCTATAATTAATCTTATTATTATGTCTATAATTATTATACCTATAATTTATCTTACCTATAATTACTATAACTCTGCAACGATTCGAACTATAACATTTATGACAGATATATTTATTTATTATACGTTATCGTTTATAATCATATAATCGTTTAATTAATGTTAAAAGAGAATGCCTTCGTACAATACGTATGCCTAGGTTACTCGTGACTACGGCAATGCTTCTTTAAATATATGCATTCAAGGGAGTCTTTTTAATTTGTCATGCTGCAATCCAATTTGTATTTCAGATTCGAAGTAGATGAAAAAATTACGTCTTTTGGTTTTAAAGGGGAAAGAAATGAGAAAATTTGAAATTGGAATAAACGAAAGTGAAAATGAGAAAAGTAACAGCTACGTATTTTTTCCCCAAATCCAATTAAACTTTAAGATTTATATCATTTCATGCCTTTTTTTTTTAAAAAAAGAGACCAGATTTTTCGCTGTAAACATAACAAAATCTAAATTCACACTTCCATGTTAGTTAAGTTAATGCGTAAAATTACATTATTATCAGAAAATCGAGATTTAGAAATATCACATGTTTCGTAAATAATATAGAGGCTTATAAATTTGTTAATTTTGAAAAGGAATACTTTTAAAAATTAAAATTTTCTTATCATCAATAACTTACTAAAGTTCAGAACTATTCAAAATAGTACACAATTCTCGAAATTTGTATAACATTTATAAACTAAATATTTAGCAAAAATCTATTATCTACAAGATTGGTTTAATTTATAAATTTTCAGTTATTTTTCGAAGTTAATATTGTAAATAAATTATATATTTCTTTACATGAACTTTTTTTTTAATTCAATGGCCAGCATTCCTATTCAGCATTGGTAACTTCTAAGACCAGAAGTGGTGGGTAATTTTTTGTGGAGGTACCTAATAGGGAATACAGTTACCTCTATGAAGGCCTCCTATGGCTGTTTAACAAACTTGTTCTGTGTTTATTTGTCGGATTTAAAATAATATGTTACGAATTTTGTAAATGTGTAGATAATTCTACTGAAATTATATGTTGAGTTTTAGTCCAAAGTGGCCTTGTCCTACTACTGTTTTCATTTTGCGATTTTGCGTTGAAATCCTTAAAAGGCTGTATCACGTTTCAAATTGTTGCTACCAAATACTATCGCCCTGTAAGAACTGGAGGCTCCCTTCAGCCCAC